AGTGCACTGGTGCCGATCCTAGTGCTGATGTTGGTGCTGGTCGTGGTCAGTTGGCTGGCACGGTCAGATTTGGTGTCATGGGTCAAATTTTATTTTCCCCGTGCCAATTTCATATTGTTTGCACCAATAAACTTAAATTAGACTCCTCAATATATTGGGAACGTGTTGGGGCATAAGACATCCATATTGAAGCATTTTTTCAAACTTCGGTGTTGCCCGCTTCATATGAAAAATCATAGAAATTCAATGCTTTGTCCAATTGAAATGAAATTTGGAGGGTTGCTTGGAAATATTAATATGGGATTGCATGCAAACAATCGCATCAAAATTCGATCTCTACATACCATTTTCCATTTTTCCCGATTTTTCGCATTTCGGCACTTTGAAAAATTAAAAAAATACTTCCCATTTGATTTAAATTTCCAACTTTGGGGAACAGGGTTATGTTATTTTTATAAGGAATACTGCAAAAAATCGCATCAAAATTCGATCACTAGGTCCATTTTTTGGACTTATGTCTACTCACAAAAAGTGTATCTACTTGTACAATTTTCAAAATGGCATATTAGCCTATCATAGGGGGCGTGGTGTGCACCTCAACTTTGCCACCCACACTGGCAAGTCTGGTCCTGCCATGGGACTCTCCCCGCCATGTCCCACGGTTGCCCTGACCCTTCCAATACATGTTCCCGTGCCCGGTCATGGGTGATTCCATGTCGTGGCTACATGTCAGCCGACCTCGGTCGGTTAACTTTGGTTGACCCAGTCAGTCGACTTCGGTCGGTCCAGTTGATAAGCTCGGTCGGTCGACTTTGGTCGGTCCGGTCGGTAAGCTCGGTTGGTCGATTTTGGTGGACCCGGTCGGTCCGGTCGGTAAGCTCGGTCGGTCGATTTTTTGCCTTACCCTCGAAAATGTGTGGCATCGTTGCATGACTTATTTTAACATCATAATGGGTGGCTAAAGCTATCGGTCGGGTCTGGAGATTTTGTGGGCTTTCGAGATTTCAAGGAAACTATAGGCAATGGTGTTCGGCGTTCGAGGTGTTGGGAGTTAGTCTCCGTCCAGATGAAGTACAAAATTGCTAAATGGGGCAATGGCATTCGACATTCGAGGTGTTGACTAACAATTTTTGTCCACACGAAGGGCACTACCCTCACTTGTAGTGTTGGGAGACGGTCACGACAATCAGAGGGGTGATGACCGTAGTGATTCAGGGTATCCTGGGCGAGAGTTGTCTGATCCCCGACACAACACACTTTGTGTGGAGTCTTGAGTGATTGTTGGCTTGAGCGGGTGGTTACTGGTGCTTCTTCCCGTGCCTCCTCCAAATTTTCTTCACTACCCCCATGCTAGCACACCTTGCCGTGCTTGCACTACCTTATCCGTTGTCGTGCATGCACACCTTGTCGTGCTTGCACATGTTGACATGCTTGCACCCTCTTTCGTGCTTGCACCCCGTTTCTTGTTTGCACCCCCCTCCTCACGTTACACCCACCCACCCACCCAAACATTCTTTGCCATGCTTTGCTTGACCGTAGCCTTTTGTTTGTCCCCTTGCCATGTGCGTCCAGCACACCCAAACTTTCTTTGCCATGATGACCCAAACTTTCTTTGCATTGTCATGCTTGCCCGCTTGCCTCATCCATGCCTAGCGATGCCAGACTTGGTGCCATGCGATGTTTCCATTTACTTTCTTGGCATGGGCAAGTGGGGGGTGGTTCGTTTATTGGTGTTTTGTTTGGCGACCGTGAGGGCGTGTGAGTGGTTATAAGGATGTTTTTGTTGGTTGGCTCCGTGCTTGTGCATCGAACTTCTAACATGCATCCTCATCATTCATGGTCACCCTTTGGCCTTGGGTGATTATGCTTGGTCGGTCCTTGTGTTGCCTACCTACAAAATTGTACAGTTGCGGTCAGTCCTAAATATTTTCGTCCAGGGTTCCTTGTTGGACTCGGGGAGGATCTTAAGGTCTCACACGTGACCCACCACCTGACCTGAGCAGCTCATTTTTGCAAGTCTATACGGTGGTGGCACATGTGTTGAGATCGTTCTTTCGGATACAGTACATTCGGTGGAATGGAGGCAGGTGATTGTCCCATGCTATTCTATTATTATTGGTTGGCAACCAAGAACGAATGATGGTTGCCCTTGGTGCCGGTCACGACCCACGACCACGGTCTTTGTCGTGTTGGGCGTCACGGGGCGTGGTCAAGGATGGATGCTACCTGGTTGATCCTGCCAGTAGTCATATGCTTGTCTCAAAGATTAAGCCATGCATGTGTAAGTATGAACTAATTCAGACTGTGAAACTGCGAATTGTTCATTAAATCAGTTATAGTTTGTTTGATGGTATCTACTACTTGGATAACTGTAGTAATTCTAGAGCTAATACGTGCAACAAACCCCGACTTCTAGAAGGAATGCATTTATTAAATAAAAGGTCGACGCAAGCTCTGCCTGTTGCTTTGATGATTCATGATAACTCGTAGTCGCTGCCGTCAAAACGAGGCGGTCGGAGCGACGCGATGGTTCCGACTTTCCAATTTTCGCATTTTTATTGGTGTGGTTACAACGCCTTTAGGTTGTCCGATAACCGGGCTGAACCTAGGGGCGAGGTTTCGAAAAGGTGTTCTTGGATTGTCCGATAACCGGGCTAACCCAAGAACTAAATTTGAAGGGTTCTTCTGGAGTCGCCACCGATGTTTTTACCGGAAACATCGGAAAAGGAGTGAAAAGGCGTTGGTTTTCGAAAAACCAACTTTGGTCATTAGAACAAGAGTTGGGTAAGGGAGTTAGTTACGTGTAAGGGAAGTGTTAGTTCCCTTACGATGCCCCTTTCGGGTTCCCTATGATAAGCCAACTATTTAAATAAGCAAACCGGTGAAAATACGCATTTACCCTTTATTTACGGAATTTAAAGTTACGACTACATGACCCTAATATCTACTGTGCAATTTAAAGATAAAACAGTTGCCGCCACCGTCAAAATGAGGCGGTCGGAGCAACACGATGGTTTCGACTTTCCAATTTTCGTGTTTTTATTGGTGTAGTTACAACGCCTTTAGGTTGTCCGATAACCGGGCTGAACCTAGGGGCGAGGTTTTCGAAAAGGCGCTCTTGAATTGTCCGATAACTAGACTAACCCAAGAACTAATTTTGAAGGGTTCTTCTGGAGTCGCCACCGATGTTTTTACCGAAAACATCAGAAAAGGAGTAAAAAGGCATTGGTTTTCGAAAAACCAACTTTGGTCATTAGAACCGGAGTTGGGTAAGGGAGTTAGTTACGTGTAAGGGAAGTGTTAGTTCCCTTACGATGCCCCTTCCGGGTTCCCTATGATAAGCTAGCTATTTAAATAAGTAAACCGGTGAAAATACGCTTTTACCCTTTATTTGCGGAATTTAAAGTTATGACTACATGGCTCTAATATCTATTGCATAATTAAAAATAAAACAGTAAAAGAGAGAGGGAGAATGTAAAAACCTCCGAGGCAAGCTTTATATTAATTTTTTGGAAACTAGGGAGCTTTTTGGCAGCCCGTCACTCTTTACAGCGCTGGGAATCTCTCGAAAACGCTATAAAAAACTCTAAAAAGCTCTCAAAAACTCTGGAAATGCTTCGGAGGGATTCTAGGAAGAGAATTTTAAGAAATAATAAGACAGAGAATGGAAGAACTGTGTGAAATGAGGGGAATGGCACGACTATTTATAGGGATTCGCGCCTGTCAGGTCGAGACAGTCGTCTCGTCTGACAAGGTCTTGATGGCCGTCTCGCCATTCGAGACGGTCGTCTCTCCTTGCAGAAATGGCGAGACGGCCGTCTCGTCAAATGAGACGGCCGTCTCGCCATTCCCAAGTGACGAGACGACCGTCTCGCCACTTTCGCAAGGCGAGACGGCGGTCTCGAATACGAGACGGCAGTCTCGACCCTAAAAGGCGAAAATCCTTATTTACATGCAGAAAATCCCTCCTATTCTAATATGGGGCCTAATAGTCTCTCCTAATGGCTTCTTAGGCTTCATCCATCTTCAAAAAAGAGGTCTTCTGGTCTTTATTATGAGAGCGGGCAAGATTTGGGGTCTACAGCTGCCCCCCTTTACCCGACTAGTCGACTGCTGGCCTGTTGTGCCAAGGAGATCGACTGGAGGGTAAAGGAGTTGACCCTCTTGCCTAGTTGT